CACAGGAGAACATTGGAATGAGCTATTTGGAAGCCTATCTCACTGCTTTTTAACATGTCCTTCTTTACCTACTGAAGAAAAAATAGATTTCCGCGGAGCTGGACATATATTGTAGCACACTGGAGTTTGGACTCGAGTTTGGGGTGCAGACGGGGGTGGGGGGGGGGGGGGGGAGAGAAAGAGAAACGATAAGGTTTTAAATAGCAACTTCATCCATCTACCACCACTGGTTGACCTTTATTGGTTGTAAACTGAATGATGCAGCACTGTATATGTTGCACTCTATTTCAGGAGATGGATGGAAGGAAGGCAAAAGGTAATAGGCAAGTGACAAAGGAATAGACTTTACGGTGGCTATTAACTGTCTAACCCAGATAATCACCTCCCTCCACCGGTGAAGCACGTGGGAGTAACAATTTGAGTATAGCGTGACCTCCAGGTTTTATCACTTCAAGAAATTTTAAAAAATAGTTCCAAGAAATCTCAACATTAAGCAGGCTGTACCAGTTATTCGAGTGATCTGTGTACTGCTTATAATGGCAAGGAAACAAAAATGTAACCGCAAAATGGTGTATCTTTCCCACTTGGACTCAGTGTGGTCTGCCTTTCCTTACAGCGCATCACAGTTCTGGATAATATTAGTTATCCCCAAGAAAAGCTGTCCGCCAAATGAACTTTAAACATTAACCAGAATACACTGATTTAGTTAGTGTGGCTCAATGGTAGAAACATAAAACCTCAATACGTGAGAGAAAAAAAAATCTCAGCCATGTCATGGATAGTAATCACTAACCGAGGTAGTCTGGGAAAAGGATTGCCTTAACACAACAAATGCAATGATGGACCAAGCCATTAAATTGAGATTGGTTCACACAACCATCACGTCCCAATCTGATCAGCACTCCGAGATTCTATCCCACGTCAAAGGTGAGGTGTACATTCAAGCCAGGAACTAATCAAGAGGTTTTAACATCCCAAAACGTGAAAATGCTGGAAGTGTACTCTTTATAATTGTAGGTGATGTTTAGGTGGTTGCATTCTGTGTTCCCCCCAAGTCAAATATCCTATTACCTTCACAGTGAGTTATTATAATAATAATAATAATCCTTGCATTTGATATAGCACCTTTTCACAGCTTCAAATATACTGTAAAGTGAATTGCCTGTATATTTTAAAGGCGAAACACGGCAGCCAATTGCGCACAGCAGCGTCCGACAAACAGCTGTGGATTGAGTGACCAAATTATTATTATTTATTTATTTTGTGAAGGGATTATTACCCCGAGAAAAGCAATCCGCCAATCGACTAACAACCAGGTTCCTATTTGCTGCTGTAAACAGAGGGGTGTGGAGTAAGGAAACTTGCCTAACGTTTCACCCTACCCGGGAATCGAACCCAGGAAACTCCTCTAACGATCAAAATGGGCTGGAAAAGGAACCCAACAGGTCGAGTGGTGATTTAATTCAAATAGCATTTCTTCCACTTTAATATCGATAGCACTTCCTAATACAACCATCTGTTCCTCTCGAGGGAACCAAAATCAGTTTGCAACCCAAATTAGGAGGTGGGAACTTCTGTGGGGAGCGAGTTACAAGGACTACAGTGCAGACCGCCAGTTCTCAAGCACTTAGTGGGAAACTACCCTAGCCCAGATTGTGCTGGGTTCCTGATTATCAAACAAAAACCTTTTTGAAGCAATAAAAACATCTGAAAGCGAGCTGCAATTTCCCTGCAAGTGCATTCATTACCTGTTACGTGACACATTGGCATAAACATCAAAGAAGAGATGCAACGGGCCTGTGAGTACACATGTACCGTAAGTACAAAAGGAAAGCTAAGTGTGATATAGGAGCAACCTAACAACATGATCTTACAGGGGAAGGTACAGAACTCTCCCATTTGGGCTGCAGATTATGGAACTAACCCACTGGAGGAGACGAGCATTGCTGAATTACATCTGTTTAATAGCATTAAAGTATCTGTTGTAATTGGAATCATGATGATAACTTCAAAGAAATCTAATTGAAACATTTAAGTTATTTCGAGATGAAATGACAAAGATTAAATGGTTTAAATACTGGACACACATATTTGTTGAGAGTGAGAGACCTCCTATTAACCACAACAATTTCAGAGGGTGCCAAGTTTCGTAATCTGATGTAACGTTCCCATAATGAAAGATCCACATTCAACTCTTTTTTTAATAAAACAATGTTTGCTGTGAAAGTTATATTTATATATAGATATATATATAAAGTCATTTTTTTTAGAAACCAATTTTAGGTTGCCTCAACTTAAATATTGTACATTTAGAAGTGAAATTGCTGCCGCCTTACTGAGTGCGATGGATCAGGTGGGCTCCACCACGTCTGACACTCGATCTCTGTTGAGTGTGTCATGCTCAGCCAGACATGGAGTTGCTCACGGTGATCACTGAGTTCCTCAACAAAGATCCTTCTTCTCAATCACTGTCCAGCCACACTTGTTGGAACTGCATATGTGGACTGAGACAATCCCTATGTGCAAAGTTCCCTCTGATCCAAAAGCCATCTAACACTCACCATCCAGTTTCATAAATGAAGACTGGCCATGAGCTACTTGCATAATTAGCAGCACTGTTGAGGAAAGGACCATAGAGTGACTTTGGGGAAAAAAATGATGTGAATAATACTTTTTAAAAATCTGTTTAGTCAATCAAGTTCCTTCAGGGGGATTTGGCAGGGAATAAGGTTCACCAATAAGGATATGCTCTGCTACTTGAACATAGTCAGCTAGGCCTAGTTCGACCCCCTGTAAAAGACGCCTATATCCAAATTTTAGCTCATTTTACAAGTACGAGTCCGCAGTACAAGTCCGCATCTCTCTTTTCTTTCTTCCTCTAAGGTAATGATCTTCAGTCAACACATTCAGTCTGCTCTGCAAACCACAGAGCTGCCATTTATCCACGCTCCACTGAAGTTGCGAGATGCTAAATTCGCTTTAAGGGTTGAACAAACAGCAAGCTCTTGGGTCTCAGAATTTAATGGTCATGCCGAGCGCCCTCCCGCTTCACAAGAATATTGCAGAGATTGGCTGCAGAGACGTGTTGACATCGAGCCGCTGTCTTTAACCCTTTTACTGGAACAATTTGAGATTTAGGGAGAAACTGCACTTCAGATAGGATCAGCCTATAAATCAACACAAAGTACTGGAAATGCATAGCAGATCAGTGTCTAAAGGATAGTGACGGGTGCAGTTACCGCTACAGTAGGTTATGGAGCTATTTGCATGGTCATTGTCGTTTAATATAACGATAATCCCGGCATTTGATATAGAACGTCTTATCACGTCTTCGAGACGTCTCAAAGCGCTTCACAAGATGCACTGTAAAGTGAACTAACTGTATATTTTGTGGGCGAAACCGGCAGCCAATTGCGCACAGCAGCGTCCCACAAAAACTCGTAGTTAGATCCAGGTTATATAAAAAAATTGGGGAAGGATTCAAATAATCAAATATAAATCTATTAGGTCAGTCTAAGCCAGGCATGGACTTATGTACCAAATATTCTGCACTGTCACAAGAGTATGCAACAGAAAGAAACTACAGTACTCTGGGGTTTCTGTAGCAATAACATGCATTCAGGCCAATTTGTGTGTATGAGATCAGGAATATATGTCAAACATTCATTGTCGGAATGACATCCACGGCTAACCTTTCCCCCTCTCCCCCATCCTCACCTCCTACTACCTATTTTTCATATTTGTAGTGAAATGGAACATTTCTATTCTTATCATTAAACAAATATTGAGACTTCAGGAATGACGGATATAATATTTTCTAGCTAGCTCTCCTCCCTCCCTTCGGTAGGCGAATAGGCACTCAGTCCTAAGAGGTACAAAGTGGAGTAGCTATGTAACTTACAGTTATCACAGGATTAATAATAATATTCCTTACATTTGATATCGCACCTCATCACATTTTCGAGACGTCTCAAATCGCTTCACAGAATACACTGTAAAGTGAATTGACTGTGTATTTTGTGGGCGAAACACGGCAGCCAATTGTGCGCGGCAGCGTCCCCACAAACAGCGGATTGAGTGACCATATTGTGACAATTATTATTAATATTTTTCCTCCCACATCATGAAGATGGAAAGTTGTTATTTCAGGCTAAAAGTTTCTTAAAATACAATTTCAAACTAAACAGGTTTCATTTTTTTTTCACTTTTAATTTTTCATGCAATTGAGTCACAATTAACCCTCTCTCCCTCCTCCTTCCTCCCTGGCACGGACTAGATGATACCTTGCGGCTTGCTTTCGTGTTCCAATGGAAGCCGGGCCTCTCTGCCCCCACACTTTGGAACTCCATCCCACAGTCCCTTCGCTTCGCTCCCTCGTCTTCTTCAGGGCACAACTCAAGACCCTCCTTTTTGATCATTCCTTTAGCCGCCCTCCTCACTCTCCGCCCTCCCTCATCCCAACCCTACCCGCCCACACTCGGGTCCTGATCCCCGACCGTCCAGCACCTTGGGATGTCTTCCTGACGTGAAAAGCACTTTACAAATGTCATTTTGTTGCTGTTGGACGGTCTGTGTGAATCTATGCTTTTTAATTCTTCATCCAAGAAAATTTTTGGAATTTTGGAATAAATTAAAATCAATCCATGTTTTTGTGCGCCAATACCATTGGTGTATGACAATATAAACAGATTCGGATCACTGCTGTATTTCACTGTGCAGTTTTTACTGGGGATGGGCTGTACCTTATCATTATGTACAGGCCAATTACCTGACGTCTTTATCGTTGTGCTAACCGTCTGTTGAGAACTGTACGACTTGTAAAAGTAATGGATTTATGAAAGATCATAAAAATGGTAGCAGTCGGTAATGTTCAATTCATCTCACGACAGATCAGAAATATGCGGTTTGAGCAAGTAGTAGTACAAAGCTTACCAAACACAGTACAAGCTAGAAAGGGAATGAGTGGCACATAAGAGAACAAGATAGCAGAAGATACTGACCTGGAAGCCAAGCTGGTTGAAGCAAGCGAGATAAGAGGTTGGAGGATATGCGGAAGATATCAGAGAAAGTTGAGAATAATGTGGGAAAAGATTAGTTTAGGATTAATTCAACATAATTATGCAAATACAAGCAGTTTAAAAAGCATTCAAATCTACTGTGTTCTAAAAGAACGTGGCAATATATGAAAAAAAGTAACCAAACTTGTAAGATTAAAAGTTCAGAAACTCTGAACGACTTTTATGGTAGTCAATACGACACATATTTGGTCATTGACAATATCCAGATGCTTGACTCACTTGTACAATAATAATGACATGCCCTTTAAATTAAACCATTCAACATTCTATAACTTGAAGCATGAATATTTCCTAGAACTGTCACATATGCACATTCAGTTCCACACACTAGTTTTTGTAAGGTGCAGTTTACAAAGAATCATGGTAACAGCTTTAATAATAATAATAATAATAATAATCGTTGCATTTGATAAAGCGCCTTATCACTCACTGCAAAGTGAATTGACTGTATATTTTCAGGGCGAAACACGGCAGCCAATTGCACACAGCAGTGTCCCACAAACGGGTGTGATCAAGTGACCAAATCATCATTTATTTATGTATTTATTTATTATTTGAAAAGATTATTACCCCCTGACAAAGCGATCCGCCAATCATCTAACAACCGGGTTCCTAATTGCCGCTGGTAAACAGAGGCGTGTGTGTGGAGTAAAGAAACTTGCCTAATTTTTCGCCCTGACCGGGGAATCGAACCTGTGTCCTTCGCTTGCGAGGCGAGTGCTCTAACCACTGAGCTACAGGACTCCAGGTGATTGAACACTGCAACCCCACCCCCCCTCCCCATAGGAACATAGGAATAGGAGGAGGCCATTCAGCCCTTCGAGCCTGTTCCGCCATGTAATTAGATCTTGGCTGATCTGTGCCTCAACTAATCCATTTCAATTCCAATTTCCCGCTTTCTTCCCATATCTCTTAATCCCTGACCTACCAAACAATGATCAACCCCCCCTCCCTTAACCTCTCCCGCCCACTTCCTTGATTTATCTCAAAGGTACAGTGAATAGGGGTGGACAGTGGGACAGACGGGGCCACCCCAGTCTCTGGTTCTTCCCACAGTAGTTAAGGACAATAACAATAATAATGATAAAGTGCTTCAATTCTGGACTCACTTTTATTTACATAGCATCATTCTTTATGTTTAGGAATTTGATTTTTGGGAGGGTGTGGGGGGGAGCAAGGGGGTGGGGGGTGGTTGCGGTACAGAAGATAAACGATGACTTTTTTTTATAAATGAACTCTGTTTTATTTCATCTCCTGGACAGAAATGTTCGCTAAGATATAAATGAAGACAAATGGAGGTTCAGTAAATTCTGAACAAAGTCTCAACACTATTGCTGGGTTAACATTTATTGAAGCTTTGCCATCCCGAAAATTATATATATCTTTAGTAAAGCAGTTACCATGACTGTGAAAGACGAGGAGTTTATTTTTTTTTAAGTGGCTTTGGAATAAACTGCTCCACTCGAGCATATTAATAACAGCTTAACACCGCAGCGCAAAAGCTCAGTGTTTTAACAACCGGCTTCAATGAATCAAGGCTACGAGGGAGTGAAGAAAAAATATATGTTGCCACTGATTTGAGGTGGTTAAACAAACAAACAAACAAACAAACAAATGCAGAAGCCGAAAAGAAAGACAAAACACAATTGAATGCACCTTTGTTAAAAAAAATTATAATAAATGCAATGTCCCATTTTGAGTGGTAGCATATAAATAGGCTAAGTTTTTGAAGTGTGCACAGGTATAGTTTTCAGCATTAAGAGTTTTCCATTAAGCTTATTTGCTGATAGAGTTTATTAAGTCAGATGCTTGTGATTTCCAGAAAGTCTAGGAATGGTTTCGAGTCATACAATGGATTTTCCTGGTGCAGCCAGTTATTTATCCCCCCGCAGATCTCTCTCTTAAACTGGAAGAAGATCACATCTTCCCCCACGCCCACGTCTGCTGTAGATATTGCTCCTCAATTGGTTGATTTGAAGCATAATTCAAAGGATGTAGCCAAGTTCTGCTATTTTTCTCTCCCCACTGCGCTGAGATAAAATTCCTTTCCTCTGTATGATGCTCTAACCAGTTGAGAACTGAAACCTTCCCCTGAGCAGTGCACAGACTTGAGCTCACACCCTCCTGACTGGGGTGGGGTGGGGGTGTTAAGTGTTCAGCCATTTGAGCTACTGAGTTGACTGTGGAGGACGGTAACTTCTAAATTAAGCCACGATCAAGTATTATTTTGGAGAAAATTTATCAAAGTTGAGATTCGACACATCGACTGAGTGAGATGGGGAATTAAATCATTGCAAATTCACCTCTAAAATCTAGACTCAAATTCAGTCCCAAACGGGAATTAACCCTGATAATAGCCAGCAGGTCCAGGGAATATCAAGAGCTCCCAGCCAGCCATTTTTCCCTCGTATAGTCTATAGTTGATCGCGCTGCCTTCTACTTTATTTCTAATTCAACTACCTCTTCGCTCTTTAAACGTACAATATTTTATTACTAGTATTTCTCTACCATCCACCGCCATCCATTCTTTCCTGTTCTCCGATATTCCCATCTACTTCCGTTACTTTAACTTTTCAAGCATCGTAAAGCAGTTTGTTTATTCAAGCATTGACTACTGTGCCTCACCATGGAAATACTGTACAAGGAAACAAATGGCAACCTACAGGAAATAACTGATCAGAGCTGCCATATGGCAGTGAGAACATTGAGATCACATAAAAATTTTAAGATGCCTTCATCCTGTAGGTATCTATTTCCATTTTCCTCCCTACCGCCTTCAAGTTTTCATATCTGGTTGGTTGGAACCAACATAAATGTCGCCAGTGACAAACCATTAAAAAGCCCTTGAAAATCAGGTTGTAGATCGACATCTGTGACATTAACACATCGTGCACAGATTAGAGATCAAGCAAACTATTCAAGGTGAAACTGGAATGGACAGCATCACTCTGCAGGCTGTTACAGTCTCAGCCATTCACAAAATAACAATAATCCTTGCATTTGATGGAGCGCTTTATCACGTCTTCGAGATGTCTCAAAGCGCTTCACAGGATATACTGTAAATTGAATTGACTGTGTATTTTGTGGGCGAAACGCGGCAGCCAATTGTGCAGAGCAGCGTCCCACAAACAGTCGTGGAATTGAGTGATCATAATATTTGTTTGTTTGTTTATTTGTTTGATTGTTTTTGAAGGGATTATTATCTCTGGAAAAGCAATCCGCCGATCGACTAGCAACCGGGTTCCTGTTTGTTGCTTGTGAGGTGAGCGCTCTGACCGCTAAGTTACAGGACTCCAATGTGGGTGTTAAAATGGATCAGCAGCAGTTACATACAACTTTCAAATAGACATGAGCCGGAGATGGTTGAGAGTCTGATGTAAGACTTGTCGAAAGGCTGAAAACCCAATTTACTGTGGTCAGAAGTAAATGGAAACTGAACAGAATTGGTCAATGGAAGATGCTCTTATCGGGCACTCAGTTGTACTGTGAGAAACGCCACAAACATATTTTTGTCAACTGGTTTCCTCATTAGTTTTGACTACCACTTCCCTCAGAAGGTCAGAGAACTTTGAGATAACAGGAAGGTGTGTGTGTGGGCAAGGAGCCAACAACCTGCCTTCAGCCACCATTCCTTTGTCAAGTTTTGGAATTCCTACTACAGGGACATCTAGATAATTAGTCTGGGTTTAGGGGAGGAAGACATCATCTAACAGTGTTTACAATCATCTGCTCTGGGGTTTATTGCAGCAACTGTGTTTCACCATCAAATCTGGAGAAAAGGAAACTATTTCAGCCGTAGACGTTTGCTATTGTATCTCCGTGGCCGTGATTACCGTTTGGAATCTTAATACATCACAGATGTGACTCGAGAGCTCCCATCCTGCGGGAACGCAAGAAAACTGTGCATTTTCTTTGCTGTGAATTGGTAGTTACTGAAACAAAACAGGACACTGCATGTTTAACAAAATGCAAATGATAGGAAACGCCAGCGCCAGGTAGACAAGACGCTGGGCGGGAGGGGCATGTGCAAACACAGCAGAGCATATATTGCATTGGCAACGCATGTCAGGGCAGAGCACTCACTTTCCCAAGAAATCCCAGACCAACCCCCCTATCTGCTGTGGAGCTGAGACCGAAACGTGCTGCTGAGCTTGTGCTCTGCCACTGGACAGGAAGAGACAAACAGAAGCAGGGGGGGGACAAGAGGAGAAGATTCTCGTCAACAAGACCGACACTTACCAAGTTCACAAATCATACAATAGAAAACACAAAACACAATAACATCAGCAATACACATTGTGTTCTGAATCTCCATGCAACAAACCTGGGTTAGGATGGCGGTGCATGAATGGATACAAACTCATCAAAGACTAATTATTACAGGATAAATAATAATAATAATAATCTTTGCATTTGATAAAGTGCCTCATCACGTCTTTGAGACGTCTCAAAGCGCTTCACAGGATATACTGTGAAAAGTATTGACTGTATATTTTGTGGGCGAAAGCAGCAGCAGCCATTGCACAAATCTCCAGCTGCCTGAAATCTTGGCCAACATTATCTGGTAAGTTCACTTCCAACTTCCATTCCATTCAGAAGAATAGTGAACGGTTTTGTGGAAGGATTTTAATTTTAACTGTGAAAGTAATACTGTGAACTGAAGTACACAAGAGTGACAACAGAATTGAAACCTGTACATTCTCTAAACAAGTGGGATATTTTTGCCACTGTTCTTTTAGAAAGCGGATACACTGATCTATAGCACAGTTCCCTTTCACTTATTTTTCTTTTCACGTCAATGCTATAAGCATTCTGAGTTCATATAGAAATCACACACACATTATGTTATATTTCCTCTGATGCAAACACCAATGTGATTTGTCCCAGCATATTTTACGGTTAACTTAACTGGACTTTCTATAATTGTACAGCATGATCATTCCGGGTAAACGGTTAGACCAATTACTTGTTTTATTTCCTTAGATGCGTACTTAACAAGAGTATTTCTTTTAAGCCAGGCCATTATTCAAATTGGTATTATTCCTTGCAAAGAGCAAGTTCCAATGTTATTTCACGGCTTCTTTTGGGGGTGTGTAACAAAAGTTTTCTGATCCGTTAATCACCATCTTTTAAAGCTTCAAAAGCGTCCACTTAATCTGTCAGTAATAAAACGCTGCCCGATTAAAATTAAGTTTGAATTCGCACGCAGAGTGGGAAGCTTGAATGGGGCTTGGTAACGTGAAAGGAACACTTTCCTAGAAACTGTAAGAACCAATCTGTATTATTTCTTACACAAAGCAAATCAATCAGGTTATGATGACTGTCAAACTGATCAGAGGGATCAAGGCAGGACTACGGTGCCAGCCAATTATCAAATAACATTTGGGAACTGAAACCATGGCATCGGGTTTGAGATCTTTACATGAATTACAATATACTTTACAAATTTACCACAATCACCTACAGCAAAACAAAAGCTTGTCTAAATTGTTCAACCCATTAAAACAGTTGTATATTCTGTGCGCAAAGTATCTTGCTCAACAGCAAATCCAAAAGAACCATGTGTCTTCACTTCACATTTCATAAAGGAATCTCCAAAATTCATATGTAGCACATAACCTTGTAGAATATTAATCATCTTCGCACTGACAGAGGTCAGCAATGGGACGGTCAGTGCGAAACTGAGAACCATAAATCTACAGCAGATTTCAACAGAATTGGCTGCTTTTCTAAGATTTTGAAAAGAAAAGTAATATTTTAAACTTGTAAAGATCAAATTATTATCAAGAAAACGTAGGGAATCGGCTGGGTTCAACTCGAACTTTAACAGGAATTTACAACTCTTTATCCTGAAGACTGAACGGTAATATTTGGAATTTTCCACCGGCAGCAAAAGCAAAGTCTTTATTAAAATATTTGATAGCTTTTCACGAAAATTGCGACTCTGTTTAATATGGATCAAAGAAAGTCAGACCAGACTGAGATCCACATCAACACTGTGATTGATGATCAAAGCTTTGTAAAGTCCCTTGGAATACTTACCAGCAGCGTCATATCTAGATTGTTCAACTCTTCGAGTCTCTATCTAAACATAGTTGTTCAGAATTATTACGGAGCTGGTTTATAAGATTATAAAACGTATTACGTTTCGAAAATCTCATTACTCCAATCCCAAAAAAGTTTCCAATGAAGAAAAAGCAAATTGCTCCGTTGGCCAAAACAATTAATACTGTTAGAAAGTTTGTTAGACAATTTGGTGCTCTACCCCGTCAATCATTAGCAGCCCCCCCACCACCTCTCCCCCTCCCCCCCCACCCCACCGCAGTATATGAAAGCAATCCCCTTCATTTCTGTTCTCTTCTAAACACTAAATTTCATTAGTCTGTAGATTTAAAAAACTGATGCAATTTAACTGATTTGGTTAAAATAACTGATCAAAGCAAAGTATCATTAATAATCTGGGCGTTTGCAGGGTTTATTATTTTGCACAGTCCATGGAAAATGCAGCTCTGGCTATCTCTTAGGCATTGTTTTCACAAGGATTAAATGGGGCTTCATTAATCTATCAGCCATTGCCATTTGCAGACAGAATCCAGCTACTTGTTCACTCGAATGAACAGAGGAACGAAACAAGAGCCCACAGAAGTGCACAATTCTCTCCAGTATAATAACCTACACGTTACCTAATTGTAAAAATATAACCATTCGAACACACTGGTAAAGAGAATACAGCATCTGATGTTGTTCATGTGGGATGTACCCAGACAGCAGAACAAGAGGCACAGGGGTTTTAGGCTGAAAAGGGCAATTTCAGGACAGATACTAGGAAGCATTTCTTTACCCACAGGGTAATTAACAGCAGTGACAGGATAGGTGAGCCCAGGAAGTTCTGCACTCATTTTTAAACAAGCTCAAAGCTGTATTTGGAAGGTGGGAGCATTGAGATCTAGAAGGTGGAGATCAAATGTCTTCAAACCAGACCTTTGTTGTGATGACCAGTGATATTATTTTCCCTCATAAGATGCTCTAAAAATGAATTTCATTGCAAAATGTAAAGTGAATCCAATACCAAATAGCAACAAAACCTGGGTGATTGAAGATAATACCCATGTAGAGTCACTTTCCTTAATGGTTTTATGAGGGTGGTGGAGTGCGGGGTGGAGGGGGGGTGGGCGTAGCTGATGCTAACAATAGATTTTTCAGAGTACTGGGAGAGAAAACTTGGGGATAAATCACCCTGTCTCTTGTGGTTTAAGAGATGTCTTGTCAGAGGCTTGGTCAACAGGCCTCCAGGCTATTCTCCAGGTTGAAGGAGAAAGTGTGGAACATAGCGGGAATCTGAGGAATTAGATAAACAGTATTGAGGGAATGAGGTGAGCATTTCAAATAGGATGACTTTTTCCTCCATGACATCAACCGTAGTTGAACTCTGTTTGAATGCCCTTCTGCAGATTGAGAAGCTTAATGATGAACTAATGGAAATTTCAGGTTAACCCAGGGCTGTTTACAGTTTGTTTTTAACCATTGTTTTTGCCTTGCCCAGGTGCTTAATAAAATATTCTTGTCCGACAATGTAAGGAAAGTGTCTAAACTTGCTTAGGTTCTACATTTTACGCTGGTTTTAAAAAAAAATTGGTGCTTACCTCTCCAGTTCTGCTATTTTCTTATCTTTGTCATTTTTCTCAGACTCTACTTCCTTTAAGATCTCGAGGAGACGGTCGACCTCGGCCTGGGACTTGCCAGACTCCTCTTTGTAGTAAACCACATCTTTCTCAAGTTGTCTGACTTTCTCACCCAGCTCTGGGTTCAAACGAGCATCCTGTTCTGCATCGTGAGCCTTTTATATGGGAAAAAAAATGAAAAATGAGCCAAACCACAAACGAACGAACATCACTGCTTTTGTTTCGGAGACGTTATACTGTACCACAGCACTCCACAGTCTACTGAACACACACACACACAAACACTTTAATCACACAACAAAACCTAACACACATGCTTTGAGGTAGAGTAGTTTCACACACAGAGAGAAAACTTTACGAACTGTAATAGTCTGGGAAGATACTATGAACAACCACACAGAATAATGTGCAGCCAAAGAGTTCACACTTTAGGCTTCAAATATACTCTTAAGCAATGGTGGAAATGGAGAGAGAGAGAAAAAAAAACACTACAATGTTTGGCCTACCCTATGGTTCCCATCATCCCTAATTGGTATCTTGGGGAAGGGAAAAAATCAAGCACGTAAGGGAAAAGGCAAGCAATGAAACAGAGCAAAATCATACACCAACATATTCAATGAAAAATACAGCATTACTACTCTAAGGATGCCAAATGTCTTTGCAATGATGTTTTATACCAATAAGATGTATTAGATGTTAAACTGACCAAAGGTACCAATATAAATACAACCATATCATTGAATAAAGTATCATTGTGTTACTTTGAAATTTTTAATAGAATAGAATAGAAACTGCTGGACTTTGTGTAACATATTTCTAAGCATGAGGATAACACAAGAGCACAGCGATTAATTTATGGATAAATTGCATTTATAATATAATTTTTTTTGCCAAGATAAATGACATTGTGTGGTGAATTAAGATTTAAAGTTATTTAAACAGGTCATTAAAACCAGTGGTTTATTATCTCTCATTTATTAGGCACGAAGCGGCTGAGGAGATGAGAACAAATTCATCCATCATTACTAATTTAAATACTACTAAAATAAATCTAGAAAAGACAACGCAATGTAGTCTTTGTATTGCTATACACACGTCAGCAATAAAAAATCTTAATGGCTGAGTTCAACATTAAAGGGTTTCTCATTTATTTATGTTAGATTGACAGCATGAAGAAAAGCAGATTGAACAGCTTTCCTAAAGTGTAATGAACACAATGAAACAAGTTACTGTTAACAGTATTAATTCCATGATCTGAGTCTCAAGAGAGCATAGTTAACCAATAATAGTTCATTCAGATGCCAGCAATCCATGGATCCAGTTTAAGCATTAGTTCACTTAACTAAGTTCAAACTTGAATTAAAATACAGCCTCAAAGTTGCTGTATTTCTCTTTGTGAAAAGCTACATGCCTTGAAGTAGTAGAATCTTTCTTTTATGTAAAAAAAGATTTTAAACCTCATAAACAATCAATATTTGTGTAGTGCTTACAAATTTGTACATTACAGAAAAAGCAAGAAAAGTAAATACCAAAATCCTTAAACTAAAGCCGATGGAACAAAATTAGCGACTTAAAATATTCAGGGGCTGGATTTAGTGGAAAAAAAAGAAATCATTGGGTGCAGAAGAATTGGGAACTGGTGTGACTTAAAACAAAGTAATTGAAACATGCAAACTAGAACAAATTTAAGTCTTCTCAATAAAATAAATGAACCTCTAAGTGCTCCCAGTTCTGCAATGAGTTCCTAAGTCTGACAGAACAGTCTAGGCACAGAACAAAAGGTGTCCTGTATTTTCCATTATGTCTCTTCATCATCATCATCATAAGCGTCCACAAACCCACCAGAATTTTAAGGGTAAATGTTAGTTGCAAAGCACGCCAGTGTGCCACAATTTGTCAGTTATCATAGCCTGGCAAGGCAGACGTACTGATTAACATATTCAAAATACTACTGTAGTAAATTTGTTCTGTGAGTTGAACTGTCAGTTTCCAGCAAGGGTCTGTAGACTTAAAGGTAGTATTAACAGAAACAATATCATGGCTTCACCATGTCAGTTTCTAATTAGTTACCATTAATGCATAAGTAGCCAAGACCTTGAAGTCTACATCACTCATTTATTCCAGCCATGACTGAAACTTGTGATTGTCTGAAATGTTTGCAGAGGTGCACTTAGATAGAAGCACAATGTCAGGTCAATGGGTCCTCATGCTTTCATATGTTACAGAGGGCATTTTAGAACCACTTACTGGTGTGTACATCTGATTGAACAACTGTTCAGCTTGCTACATTGCAAAGTTGGGAAGAAGTGAAGCACAGACAGGAAGAAGGAAAGATTCAGGAAAACAGCATTAGCTCAACAAATCCAACGAATTTACACAGAAGAACGTCTTTTTAAAAGCAGAAATTTAAGTTTCCAAACATTCCGATGTGAAAGTGAGAGGCACTAAGGAAACATAAATGTTGTTTTTGGCTGCTAAAAAGAATAGCTAGAGTAAGAATTTTGGGGTTTGTGTTACTTTACTTTTTTTTCAAATTAAATAGCCCATGAAATAAAGCAAGCTTCCCACTGCTGATGATACATTTAGTGTTCTGCTCAAGTGATGAATCACGAAAGCACTGCTAGTTTACGCTGGACTATAATTAATCAGAAACAGCTTCAAAGTTGGTTGTTAAGATAAGTTCGATTAATTCACAATATTAAAATTTTAAGTCTTGTTCTTTTTAGTACAACGTTGAAGTTATTTAACAACTTTTTTTTAAAAGGAAATGTAATCTTGGCAGGACAGACGATTGAATGTTCAATGCCTTTAATCTGATTAACTTTGAAATTCTTCATTAATATACCATTTCCTTTACACATTTATATTTATTGCTCTTATAAAGCATTCATTCATTTAATTCAGATGGTGAATTCTGAAGCTCCTCTATGGGATTAAAGGGGGGGGGGGGGGGTGGGCTTCGCCAATAGAAGGTTCCTGTTATTTAATTACAATATAGCTCATCAAACAATATGAATGTACCATGTACACAGGATACGTTGGACCATTTTCTGCGTGAGATAAAACAGAACCCAGTTACTATTCTCATCGATAGCCGTGACAATTTGTGGTAATAATGAAACTTATTTAGTGACAATTTTAATCAGAAAATGAAAGCTCGGGTTTTTCACAACCAGCACCGTGGGTGGCAAATGTTACAACATCCGCCACTCGATGGCAATATCACATCACTCTACCATCCCGTCCAGATTCCTGTCTTTTTCTGCCCAAACGTGGTTTGTGGCAGAACTGGTACCAACGTTGCTTTGAACTCCCTCAGGCAACGTTCACATGAGGTGTTTCAACGCACAATTTGGAATTTCTAAGGAAAACAGCTCGATAATGTTGAACTGTGACTTTCACTTTAAGGCATTAGGTTGAGTAGTTAAGCCTTGGTTTTATTGGCCTTGTTGGTACAGTACATAGCAGTGCGAGTGGGAGCTATGAATTACACTGGCTGCTCACATTGCTATGGAGATCGGGGAAGGCTGATAAGAAAACTGTGCGTCCACTTTCAAACACGCTGGCCCTGACTAGCATTAGTGCTGCCACCTGCACTGCCATTCATTCCTCTCATGACGGAGAAGATCGGGCTGAACCATCAGTTTTGATGTAAACATTGAGCAAGAAAGTGCATGCCATAGAATCAAGGAAATGACAGAAAACAGAGGAAAAAACAATGCAAGTTCTCCTGTCGGAGACAGCCTCGCTAGGGTTACTATGGGTGCAGTCAGGCCAACAAAGGCAGCATTATACCACACTGTGGGAGCTGGTATGAGGAGGTTTGTGGTATGCCACCACTCCCAAAGTGCAGCATAATATTTGGGCACAGATTGAACTTTCCTTTGCACAACTCACAAAAACCAAACAATGCAATAAATACTCTTAAGGAATAAAATACCACTGCTAGTAATGCTGTTGTTTTAAAATTTAAAAACACATTACTACGTTAGTACACTGGGTATTATGTACTCCCCATCTTTGCGTTTGCAAAACCTCAGATCAGGATTTAAACGGATTTCTGAAAAGTTGCACTTTCATTAGATTTCAATGTCCAGAATTCAAAACTTAGACATGCAGCGAATGAAATAACTGCAATTTTTATAAATTTCGAGTCTCCACATTCTGTTAAAAATTCACAAGAACAAATGTGAATAATGGGGACAGAACAGGCTGGGTTAAATTAATTAAAATAACTGCTGATAAGGTTTAGTATAAATGATATATTTTGAAACAACTTTTAAGTACAATTTTTTTAACAAAAAACTAGGAAACTGCTTCAATCACACTCTTAACAATTAATTATGAAGACTGTTTCTTACTTTCTATCTTGGAAAATACATGGCCTACAGGGTATGTGGTGACAGATACATTGAAAGAAGTCTAACAATCTCACAGATCATGTGCTCCACATGATTCGCTTCCAAGGAAAAGTAGCACATAATAACGAATTATAAAAAAACACAAATCTGTAAAGCTATTTAAGGATTTTAATCAAGAAAANTAAAGTTTTCAGCATCACGAAAGCCAGCATCACTGTGATAGACGTCCCATTTAACAAGGGTTTCCTTGCGTCCTAAGGAAGCCTTTTTTGTACCAAACAGTTTCAGGCAAGTTTAATTGAGAAAAACACATAATATAAATCACTTTCCTTTTTCAGATAAAGCTTTGCTTTACAGGCGTCTATTTCTCAACCTAATAGAAAACCTAGAATATTAAAACATCAAACATCAGACATTTGGATTCAGCCTGTGTGACTTTCAGCCAAAATAAACCAAGTTACATCACACAGAGAGCCAGTAGAAATCACAAGGCCAATGGAATGCTTATTATCACATTATTTTAAGTTTTTTTGAGATAATTATCACTTCACTGAAAATCAGCACCAAATGATTCATATTCCAAAGGTAAAAACTATGCAGCTTTCCAATGTTCCTTTTAGAGAAATTGGGAAAAGTTTCACGTGCATTTAGTGTTTGTCTCAATTTGGAAATAAATGATTGTTGGCCAAAATGTTTATGAGGAAATTCACGTTTCAGTGGCTGCTTTACAAAACCTCTTTGTACTTTGGCTGTTTTGATAACTATCGGTTTGGATTCCAGCAAGCAGCAAACTGTTAATTGTTATGAATCTTTGACATGTCTGCAAATGTTTCAGCCAAGTCATAAAGTGTCTGACATAAAGTTTGACGTCTTGGAGTCCCGAAGCATTCACGTTTATCTGTGGCCACATCCATAAAGTACAGTATCCATAAAATAACCAGTGCTCTATGCTTGGAGAACTATTCTTTTCGATAGGAGAAAAGGTGCCTTTTCCTTTTCAATTACGGAAGAAACTTTGGCAGTTGCCTAAGATTGGAACCTAACTAATTCCACACACAGTTTTTTNCTCCCCACCCTCCTCCTCTGTGTACACCTGTGCTCTGCTGGCTTTGAGGTTATCACCAGGGAGACTCACAATCTCACAATTTGTTCTCATTCAAGTGAAAGGACATTTATTTCCATTTATTAGCTGCACAGAAGTGAAGCTCCAGGTAAAAAACACTCATTTGAGGTTGTTAACTGGCTTCTGTCGCAGCTCCAAGAAGCCAGTGGAATTCCAAAGGGATGGACAGTACAATGGGAACGGTCTTTCCTGACCTGAAGACATTAAAGTAGCATAAAATGTCCATCAGAAGAGCTTGTGTCCTTGAAAGATCACTTGAGGCTGGGTAACAATCCAATACTTCACTGATGGAAAGGCACCAGGATTTTGATGGAATTAAATTGAAGAGGAAAAAGGAAGAACTCAATCTAAAGCAGCCCAAGACACTAGTGCTGGGACACAGCAGAGAATCATGTCTATAGGTGAAGTACAAAAAGTACAAGTAAACATTTTAGCTACGCTAAACAGCAGGACTATGTCGATATGTGATCCACGCATCTGATGTGATGCACTTCAGGGAATGAGAATTGAGAGTTAAGACACCTGCCCCCATCCTGGATCATTCAATTTTAAAACTCTTAGGAAATCATTTAGCAAAAGATTTACACGATTGCCTGTAAATATTACGCAGGACAAGCAAACTCTTTTTGACCCAACACTTACCTTCTTCAGTTGTGCTTCCAACTTACTACATTCCTCCTTCTTTTGGTCAATGACCATTTCTAGAGACTTTAACTTTGAATCTTTTTTTAAGCCTGAGGAAGCCAAAGAGGACGCGTGTTCTTTCAAGTCAATCAAACTAGACTGAAAGGAAACAAACCGTCATTAATGCAAGGAATATTGGATAATATTTGTATGTTCTATTATAATAGAATAATAAACCTTGCATTTGATACAGTGCTTTATCACGTCTTTGAGACGTCTCAAGGCGCTTCACAGGATATACTGTAAAGTGAATTGACTGTATATTTTGTGGACGAAACACAGCGGCCAATTGCGCACAGCAGCGTCCCACAAACAGTCGTGGATTGAGTGACCCCATTTTTGTTGAGGGATTATAACCCGTGGAAAGCGATCCATCAATCAACTAACAACTGGGTTCCTAGGCAAACAGAGGTGATTGGAGTAAGGAAACTTGCCTAAGGTTTCGCCCCACGTGGGAAATTCATGAACATGACAAATAATAGTGTTTGTATATTGATCTACATTTGATACAGCACCTTTCACGCTGGGAGAATGTGTCAAAGTCCTTGACAGGATTTTCAGTGAAGGGTAGGGGCTGCGCATGTTTTAGGTGAAAGTGAAAAACAATTTGCACACAGCAATGTCCCATAAACAGCCATGAAACGAATGAGCGAGGGAGGGAGAGAAAGAGGGAGAGTGGATGTTTGGGATATTCTTGGCTTGGACACTGGTAGGGAAGTCAGGATCTTGGTTTTTAACATCTCATCCAAAGGACATCACTTCCAGCATTGCAGTGGAGTACCAGCCTAGATTATGAGCTCAAGTCTCAACATGGGACGGGAATCCACAACCTTTGGACTCAGAGGTAATAATGCTTCCAACTGACATCTTTCTAGCACATTATCCGTTGATCTTGTAATGTTTAATTAACCTGTTGCAGCTATTTAAATGTATAATTGTTAACATAACTGAAATAAAGTCATGATTTGGATTCTTACACGATGAACATAATTTGTTTTTTTTAAAAAACACTAACCTCTTTTTCTGCTAGTTCTGACTGCAAAGTATTAATCTTCTCTTTCATGTCCTTGTTTTCTTTTTTATACGACTCAATCTCTTCCACTCTTTCACGATCATCTCTTTCCCGTTGCTCTTTGAGACGTTCTATGATTCTTTCCTAAAAGAGACAAATACGAGAATCGGAAGTTTAACAAGCTTGACTGCCGCAGGATACCTACGGCACAACTTAAAGATTTGAATGGTTCACTCACTCACTTGTTCTTGACTGGGATAGTAGTTGGGCCCTACCGTTGGTCTCTGTGCCCCTGAACTGGGGAGCAGGAAAACAAATCAGAGTGTCCACAGTGAAGCCTGCTGCTACGGCTCTATGTGTGGATTTCAGGCAAGGACTTTTCAGCTACTGGCATTCAGTGCGTAGCTTACGCAAAAATGTTCACAAATTGCTTTCGATCAAGTTTCGAAAAAGCACAGGATTATAGATCGGATTGAAACAAAAAATGCCTTTGAAAACCGGCTTTTTCTAAGTTACCTGATTGACATTTATTTCAGTATAAAAGTACAGTAAAAATATGTCCTTTCAATCGTGTTCATGATAGCCCTGTTTTCCTCGTTTTTAAGCAAGAAATTTTAATACGTCAAACAAAAGTCACAATAGCTTTCGGGACAATACATTGTCAAACAACTGATCTGATTGATATAGGATCAGCAAAATAATAGTTCTAAACACAGGCTCATCTAATTGAGATTTGCACCATTCATAGAACGTCAGCCAGCACTCAGAGAAATGTTTATAACAGAGTTTATTGTGTCACGGTGCTATTCTAGACCACAGTTTCTACAATAAAACCACAAAAATGCAAGTTTTTTTTATATAATCACACAGTTGTTTTTCAGTCTCTGGGGACCTTGGATTTTCTAAAGGCGAAAGGAAACGGGCTCTGACCCTGAGGCATGGTTGCTGTTTGGCACGGCCTGCGCTTGCTTGGCCTGGTGCCAGGACTGGTCGACGGAGTTCTGCCTCCGACAGATCGTTTAATCCCAAACGGGCCACGAAAGGGAAAGAGACGAACTGATGGAATTGAGTTCTGGCTAAAACTGAGAGGTGAAGCATTTAATTGACTCTCTCGTACTCTAGAAACACAGAAATCATAGGAATAGGAGGAGGCCATTCAGCCCCTCGAGCCTGTTCCACCATTCTATAAGATCACGTATGATCTGTACCTCAACTCCAATTACCTGCCCTCGCCCCGTATCCCTTAATCCCCTGAGCTAACAAATACCAAATTCTCCCCCCGCCCCAACCCCATGTTTTGAGGTCAAGGAGTTTGGTCTGGAATCCCAACAAGTTTACGTGTCTAAATGTTTAGCTATTGTGGGCTGGGCGATCATGAAACCATTTGCCGTGGTTTCCGAGACAAAACGAGTGCCATTGGGGTTTCCTTCCTGTAATAATAATAATAATCCTTGCTTTTGATATAGCGCTTTTCACGTCGGGAGGACGTCCCAAAGCGCTTCACAGAACACACTGTAAAGTGAATTGACTGTATATTTGTGGGCGAACGCGGCAGCCAATTGCGCACAGCAATGTCCCACAAACAGTCGTAGATTGAAAATGACCAATTTATTATTTTGGGGGGTTTTGGAGGGATTATTAGGCTCTGTGTGGAGTAAGGAAACTTGCCCAAGGTTTCGCCCTCTGCCTGGAATTGAACTCAGGTCTCTCACTTGCAAAGCGAGTGCTCTAACTACTGAGCTACAGGACTCCACTGTAGTTCCTCGTGCTCCAACCTGAACTAAGGTGGGTCACTGGGTGCGATGCTGGAAATATGCAGACACCAGAAAGGTTCACGTAACAATTCTCTGAGGGGTCTGGAGGAGTTACGGCTACAGCAAGTCTACCCTGACCCCTCCCAGCCCCAGAGCATTACATGTACACATCGTGGGGAACACACTGTACCAGCAACCATGTCAATAATCTGTCAAAGTCACACGTCCATGTACTATACGGTCTGTCAGCGTGGCAGGGGAACTCAGGCTGTGCTATAGGGCCGTGCCTCACACTCTGAGCAGGGGCTGGAGAATCCAGGGTATTTTCCGGGGAAATCCCATAAGTAAAGCGATAACATTCCTTCAGTTCAGGGCCACTTGCCAAACCCAGATATAAGGGCTGAATATCAATGTTCCATAACTACTCGCATTTACACAGTGACTCTATTGCCTTAGAGAAATATCACTAACTTTATCTCATTGTGGAAAAAAGTCTACAGTTCCATCCGGTCGGTATGAGTTCTTCACCGCCAGGGAATCAAGATACTAAAAGATGCTGCAAATACAACAGTAACTTCTTGTCGAGTTCTGCTCTCGTCCGTTTGAGACAACCACAACAACTTGCATTTATGTAGCCCCCCCACTCACGGAGGGTAGCATCCGAGAGGCAACCATTCACATTGCAGCAGTGACCCCAGGGGGAATATGATGCCATTTGCTCACGTGCACTATGTCAAACACGGCCAAGTGCATTCTACGTGGCTTCAAAGGGCCCCAAATTCCAGCTAGTCTCAGCCTGTAAGACCATTTTGCCTTAAAACATAAGATGGTCTAGAATAATGTTCAATTGTTCAATTCCGTCTTTATTTGGAAACAAGCTTTCTGTAGTTGTTGAAAGTTGAGGCTGAATGTAAAATTCTCTCTCCCCCATTTCTGCAAGATCTTACATTTTAAGACAAAATGATCTTCGAGGCTGATGTGAGGTGGAATTTCAAGCCACAATTAACCCAATACTGCTGTTAAGTTTGTCTAAATCAAGTTCCCTGATGATGATGATAATGATGATGACAATATTTCCTTGCATTTGAACAATTACAATCCTTTAATAGTTTTGGGGGTGGAAACATTCAAACAACTACTCTGAGATAAATGTTAACATTGTGAAACAGCCACAGAAATGAATTCAAATCATTCTCTCACGATGAACTGCACAGAAACACACCGCCCATAATCCCAGCATCACAAATCTGTCGGAAAGGCCTGAGGGGGCAGTGGCATACTATAGAATACTGTTACCACATCAATCACATCGTAAACCAGACAGAACACAAAAATACACAAAATGACAGCCGAAATAGAAACCACACCCAAAAAAAAAGCCCCAGTCAAAATGGATTTGAACTTAAAAACTTGTCACCCACACCCCCTCCTCTCCGCTTCAAACAGGGGACTTTGCAAAGACGTGCAACAGACAAAAATGCACAGACACAGTCAGAAATCAATACACAGAGGAAATAAAACAGGATATTTGCTAACAGGTTTGCGTATAGTGTATCCTGACGGGAGTCGGAGCTGTTCACTGGATGTCGGTTAAACCGGAGCAGAGTTCCTGTGGGTTGGCACAAGGCACCATCGGCCTCTGGCAAGAGCCTCTGTTTGCAAACGTTGCGTTTAAGACCCCAATGTGAAATCCGTCTCCTCATGGAAGACATTTAGTTCTTGCTTAAGTCCTTCACAGGCTCTTGCCACGATTTCAAATCGACATCTATTTCTCAAATTAATTGGGATTCTTCCTAATTACAGTCTTGACCTCCTCCATACAACAACAACAACAAGATTCCATTTATAGAGCGCCTTTCACGTCAGGAGGACGTCCCAAGGCGCTGCACAGTTTGGTCATGACCCGAGCAGGGGGGAAATGGTCAGGGTGAGGGGAGGGAAGGGAGGGAGCGAGGAGGGGGGAAATGGTCAGGGTGAGGGGAGGGAAGGGAGGGAGCGAGGAGGGGAAGAGAGTCGAGAGGGGAGCTGAAGGCACGGTCAAAGAGAAAGGTTTTGAGACCGGCCTTGAAGGAGGAAAGGGAGGAAGCGGCGAAGGCACTGGGGGATGGAGTTCCAGAGCCTGGGGGCTGAGAGGCTGAAGGCCCGACCACCGATAGTAGGGCGGTTGGGGCGGGGGACGTGGAGCAGACCGGAGCCAGAGGAACGGAGGGTACGGGCAGGTAGGTAGGGGGATAGTAGGTTGGAGAGGTAGGAGGGAGCAAGGCCGTGAATGGCCTTGTAGGTGAGGATGAGGATCTTGAAATCAATCCTCTGGGGGATGGGGAGCCAGTGGAGGCGAGCGAGGGTAGGAGTGATGTGGTCCCGAAGCCTGGTGCGGGACAGTACAGTACAGTACAATGGGATATTAGGCCATATCCCAGTCAGTTATGTGAAGTGCTTTGAGAGATCCCCTCGAAGTGAAAGGCACAACAGGTAAATGGTTGCTGTTGTTGGTACCAGAAATGGTAAAACTATTTTCTCTTTCCATTGACCTATTGTTGTTGAAAGCATTATGTTGTTGTTTTTATTTCAGATCAACAGTATTCCGGTTTCATTTTGATATCAAACTAAACACGTTCACTATGGGTCTGTGGATTTCGACGTTCACAGTGGAGTTATTTAGAATCGGGCGTCTAAAGTTTGATGTACATCAATAACATATTTGATAACTTGAAAAACACCAGAAGGTAGATTTGAAATCAGGGCGACTCGAAGAGCAAATGTCAAAAGTAATCCAAATGTCAAATAACTCCAATATGGTGTGATGTTGCGTTCCATTTCAGATCTCAGCAGCAGTAATCTCAACAATATGCTCTTTTATCCATCTTATTTGCATTGGCAATGGTTAACTTGTACATCAATCTAACTCTGTGGAACTTTAATCTATGTGCACTTTATCATAGAAGCAGGAACTAAATTAAAGCAATGAGTAGCTTATTATCAGGCGTGTCTCACTCCTTATCAGCAATGGGAATTTCTTTTTAGTTTGCTAATAGTGACATCATTCATTCTCATAGTTACAATCACAAATTCTCTGTACCCTCTTCCCCTCCCCCAGAGCTCACTACCAAACAAAGCACTCACATATCACAGGATTTCAGGGTACATACATTTGAACTAACAGTAAAGTCTCTGTATTACCATCGGAACTTGCCAAATCCTGTGACAGATGAACTTATCACCTCAGTACAAAGAGGAGCAGAAACTAATAATAATCCTTGCATCTGATATTGTGCCTTTCACATCAAGACAACGTCTCCAAGTGCTTTAGAGGAATGACTTCAGAGAGTACTGATTGTATATTTTTTAAGGGAACGCAGCAGCTAATTCTGCATAAAGCAATGCCCTGAA